GGCCAATAAGCCTATGATATAAAATCTCAAGGCAATAAATTAATTTATTTTGTATTACATGTATTAGTATAATCGCTCGGCACTCTAAAGTTAAGTGATYTCAAGCACCCCCATCGATTTATATCCAAATTTAGTTTAATCAAATATSAATCTTCCGGACGTAATGACGTATTCATGCAGAGTACTGTTTTCTTGCATGTAACAATTTTTGCTGTTGTACTGTAAGTTGCAATCATATCCAGATTTTACCATCTGATTAATCTTACGTACATTATTAGAATTTACAGAATCTTCAGTTTGCTTAGTTTAAGTTTCTGTGGTAGGAGGACAAATTTAAGATTCCAAAGATATTGAAAGATCAGGGAGTAGCTTATATAAGCATAATGTATCACTTTTTGAATATTCCGTTGTAACGCGTTTTTGTAGCTTTCTTAAGTCCTCTGCCAGTGTCTTAAGTACTTACTTTCTCAAATTCCCTTTTAATTTTTGTAATTCCTTCTCTTCCTTATCCCCTCAACCTTCTATTCTCTTAAAAATATATAACTTATTTTTTTAAGTCGTATAAGCTAATTCTCATGCGTCAACGAATGTTTTTTTAAAAATTACAAATTTAGTTTCCTATTTATTATCAATGCAAAACTTACCTGGTAAAATACGGCTTGTTGATTGATATCTTTGCCACTCGTGTCTTCGACGCGGYTCTAAATTAATTATTTACCCAACGATCGAGATGGTTGCTATAAACTAATAAAAGTTGCTAAATAAAATTGCTTGGAGAACTGTGACTGATTACATGATAAACCAAGCAACTTGATTGGTTGCATTATTTAAAAAATATATTGTGATTGGTTAATTTGATGGAATGTGATTGGTTGATCCATTGCTTACTGGACAACCTGATTGGTAGATGGTTGACAACGCTTAATCAATGTCGTCCGTCCATGAAATCAAGAGGTACTCCTAAGGCGTTGGCTCCTATGTACATACCATATATGGCTTAAACTTTGCCGCTTAGTCATCTGCGGCTATAACAGGCAGGAATCACGCTGAATTATGCAATACCGGACAATTGCAGTTAAAAATTGTCGATRAAGCGTTTTTAAACGCTTTTTTAAAAAAGTCAACCAGTATATCTATAGCCAAGTAAACTCAAAAAGTTGTTTTACATCAAAATTTGTAAAGTTGAAGCGGTTGTGTGGTTTTAACTTGGGATAAATCAATTCATTATATTACAGACGTCGTGTTTATAACTAAGTAATGAACGCTCTTTAATCTTAGATTATATGGCATATATACCACATCTTCAGACGTTAAAATATAAAAAATA